TGTGTGTGTGTGTGTGTGTGTGTGTGTGTGTGTGTGCAGACAGAGGAGATCCAGAAGAGGAAGAGACCTGCACAGTAGAAAGAAGGCTGACTTCTGGGGGAGCAGCCTGCTGAGAGCCACAGCTTCCCACACACCTTCCTGCCACCCCCACTTGCCCTGCTCAGCACTGTCGTTCAGGTTCCTTGTTGCCCAAGGACCAACCAAGCCTGCTCAACATGTCCCCAGAGCCCAGCCTCTAGGTCAGGCCAAAGAGCAGACCCAGTGGAGGTCCCTCCCACTCTGGGAAATGTCATGACACCTTCTCCTTGAGCCCCTTTCCTGTAGGGCTAGTGAGGATGGTTCTGGTGGAACAACCAAGCTAGCCCCAAACCACCATTCCTGCTGCTGCTGAATCTGCTAGTCATGCTTCTCCTGAAGCTGGGCCTGAGCTCTGACTTGACTTACCCCCAGAGCAGGTCTGTGTATGCATGCACACACACACCAGTGTTTTGTCTGCTCTTTACTACCCAAGTCCCCATGCCTCTTGCCCATCCAAGTCCTCATGGCAAAGAGAACTAGCCCACTGCTGGCTAACACATATTGAACACCAACTCATCAGGCATCATACTAAATGCACTACTCACAGTTCATCCTCTCTGTAATCCTATCAGGTGGAGACTATTGACTCAGAGTGGTTAGGACACTTGCTTAATGTCACACAACTGGTGGGAGGTCTATCTAGAATTGGAACCCATTATTATCTGAATCCAAAGGCCAGGCTCAGTCCCTCAATACTGAATGTGTGGTCGATGGACCGGAGACCATGCTAGACACACTCACCTGAAACCTGCCGGGCCAACAGGTGCATGTTAACAAGTACCTAGGTGACTCACATGCCAGTTGTGGTTTGAGAAGCACTGGTGTAAAGCACCGTTTTCAACACCTGTGGGTCCCAGGTAATTGCAACCACCCGCTCCCACAACCTCTGAAAGCCCTCCCCCAGCCACTTGGCTCTTGCCCCCTAGGCAGGGCAGACCATCTACCCAGCCTTGGGGAAGAGCCTGGACCTGGGGCTCAGAGGGAGTCTCCAGGTCCCTGCAGCCAGCCCAGGCTGCAGCTGGACTGTATCAGTCCATGGCTGGCTCCCCATAGGGCATGCTGCCTGCTGCCTGAGACCCTCCTGGCCCCTCCCTCTCATCTTCCATCTGGGACACAAGTTCCTTGGCCTCTGTCTGGTGCTTTCCTGAAGGGGGCCTCTGTCTACCACAAATCCCTATGTGTCTCCCCTCCTTGGACATTATGCACCCTCCCTAACTTGTAAAATGCCCCCTGCATCATGTCACTCCCTCTGTACACCAAGAGCCTGTCTAAGTTGCCATCAGGAGAGAGGCCAGCGGCTGCTTGGGAAACCTGGCCAAGCTCACAGGAAATGTCTGACACCACCAGGCAAGCAGGATTTGGCCTCCCAAAGCAAAACACAGCTGAGCCGACAGCAGGCCACTCGGACTTTCCCAGATTTCATGGCACTGAGGTCCCAGGGCAGAGAGAGAAACTGGGCTGATCTGGAGGCTGAAGCTCATTAAAAACATCACAGTAGCCCCTGGCCTGGAAGCCTGCAAAGCCTAAAGAGGACTGCCCTGCTGTGGGCCAATGACTTCATGGTGGGCTGCCTCTTGCACACATGAAACCTTTGCTGGGGAATCAAAGGCTCATGTAGCTTAGCTTGTCATCCTTCTGTCTCAGCCTCCTCCTCTCCCCAGTACTTAACCTCACTCATTTATTCATTCAACTTATGTTGACTGAACACCTACAGTATGCCAGGCAAGGTGTTAGGTACCAGGGACACATACATGAAAGAGCATGACACAGCCCTGGCTTTCAGGGAGCTCTTGGTCCAGTGAGCAAAGAAACAGCCCATCCCAAGGCAGATTGAAAAGTGCTACACTAGAGACACATAGATCCTCCCTTTCTTCTGCACTCTGAGAAGCATAGCAGGTGTTGTCTCTGGTGTGACACCAGGTACAGGGTGAGGGTTCAATGCCAAATGGATCCTTTGTTAGGTAACTTCATTTGGACCAAGTGACAGACTGCAAATGTGGACTGAGTACTTTCTGTAAGTTAGGACTTTAAGAAGAGCTATGGGGAGAACCAAAGAGTACAAGACAGAGTTGCTGCCTTCCAGGGCACAGGCCACACTGTCCAATTGCTGATACAGGGGCATGGACCACAGGGATGTGAGCCATGTGTGCATTGCAGGAGGTCAGAGAGTTGGGAGGAAGCGATCAGATAGCTGGGTGGAAGTGCTGGTCAGGGGGTGCTTTTTGGAGGAAGTGGGACTGGGCCTTGAATAATAGGAGGAGCAGGATGGGCTGGGAATATGGGGCAGGGATGTCAAACAGCTCTGACTCGAGGGTGCAAGGGCCTGAGTGACCTGCCGAGCAACCACCCCACAACACACACACAGGGGACGGATACGTTAATAAGTGGATGAGTCCCCAAGTCCAAAGAGCTGCAGGGAGAAAGCTGCGCTGGAAGGACTCTGCTTGCACCCTTTCCTGGACTTGCCCTGCACCTGGCATCTGTGGTGCTCCTCCCAGTGCCTTCATACCAGGCCTACCCACCTTGGGCCCACAGCCAGGACCAATCAGAACAAAGCTCAGGCCCTGCCCACCTGCTCACAGCCAATCCCAGGCTATCCACCCTGTCCCCCTGTGCTGTCCATCTGGCCCTTAGCTCTGCCCCACCATCCCAAGGTTTTGGCCAAAGGATCTGGCTCTTCTGTTTTTGACCTGTAAGGCCTTGACCTGAGTTTGTCCTTCTCCTGGATGACCTCAGTAACCACTCGTTTGAGTGGTTGGGGCCCTGGAACTCCACTCTACCAAGACCTTGTTGGCCTACCTCTCTCTCTACCCGCCTACTTCAGAGTTGCTGGACAATCTCAAGTTCCTTTCCTTTCTCTCCTGTGCTTTCCCGCTGGAGACCTGACCTCGAGGCAGCCTCCTTTCCCTGGTTCTCCTGGCCTCTGAGAGTGCAAACCCTTTTTCTCCTTAGTTCAGCAAGACAAGGTTGCAGCATTTCAGAAAGAACTTCCTACGTAGGAAGCAAATGGAAGAACTAACCTGAAAAATCAAAAGGAAAACACAGCCCCCTAGAAATGGACCAGTTCACAAAGTTCAGATTTCCTGTCCAGAGCTAGAAAAAGCCTAGCCAGGTTGGCGGGCAAGCAGGCCAGGGAATTTTTCCCGTGAACGCTCTCCTTGTCCACTTTTTAGTCTACTCTCTTCAGCACACGCTCCTTCGCTTCCCCTCCAAGGAGACAGGTTACTGCTGGGCAGTGAGTGAACTGAAGGGCTTTTTCCTGGCAGAAGGGACCCTCTGCATCACAGAGCCACGGGCAGAGAAGGAGGAAGGAGAGGAGAAACACAGTTCACTGTGTGCCAGCCACTGTTCTAAGTACTCTGCTTATATTCACCAACCTGATCTTTACAACAATTCCACAATGATGATTAACATCATCCCCGTCTTACTGATGAGGAGTCAAGAGGTAAGGAACTCGCACAAGGTTGCCCACATAGGAAGTGGCAACACCAGGATTTGAAACAAGAAAGCCAGTCCCAGGGCTATGCTGCACCAGGGCACCTCCTGCCTCCCCTAACCACCCCAGCCTGGCGAAGCCTGTGCAAACCCCACCCCCTGCTCCGCACAGCCCTGGTGGGGGCAGGAGAGGGGAGCGGGAAGGGGAGGGGAAGAGGGAGAAGTCTGGCCTACTCCACCAAGGTGTTCACCAAATGGTCTCCCTCTCACCACAGACCGTGCGCCTAGCCCAGTGAGGAGGGAACTTACCCGGCAGGGGGCTGCGTTCTGAGGATTGCAGGGCTTTCTCTGGCCGTGCTGCTCCAGTGCAGGTTGGGTGACCTCTCGGCTGAGCGTCTGGGGGCCAGCCTGGAGTTCTGGGGGTCAAACTCCTCCTCAGGGATGACTTCCTCACAGTGGGCTCCCCGGAAGCCGGAGCGGCACACACAGAGCTGGGGCCGGCTGCAGAAGCCTCTGTTCTGGCAGGGCGGCTGGCACACGGCTGGGGAGGCAAGGAGAAGGGTGAGGGCAGGGGCCAGGGGAACCCCATGCCCTCCTGTCAGGTGGGCCTCCTTCCTTATGTTGCTTGGCCTCTCCCACTCAAGCAACATATGCCTAACAATGGCATTATTATTATTATTATTATTATTATTATTATTATTATTATGGCAGCTAGTATCCCGTGAGTGCTTACAATATCAGCCCCTGTGTTTTGCAGACACTATCTCATTTAATCCAAACAATGCTAGGCAAAAAGTGTCATTATGACTCGCATTTTGCAAATAATGTCCCTGAAGCTCAGAGAGGGTAAAAGACTTGCCTGAGGTCACTCAGCTAGTCAGTGGTGGATCTAGGATTCAAATCCAGGTCTGCAGCCCAGGTTCTTTTCACCCTACTGCCTCCCAGCAGAGCTGGTGTGGTTTTTCCTACCTCCCATCTCTGAACCTTGGCCTGGAGCTGAGGATGAAACTAAAGGATCTGTTGGTTTCAAGTCAGCCACCAAATGTGCTCTGGGGAACCCTACCCTGGAAAGCTGCCCATCCCAGGCTGGCTCTGATGGTAGGGACCTCAGAACCCCATGTCTCTCCAAAGCCCACCTACTAGATCTTAGCTGACGAGGAAGGATGTTTACCAGCTCATGCATTCATTCCACGAACATTCCTAGGGCACTCACAAGGCATGAGGCTTATGGCAACAAGGGTCCCTCTCTCAGGCAGCGTGCTGTCTCACAGGGAAGCCAGGACAGAGGTCATATGATAAGGGTCAGCCAGAGCCTCTAACCCAGGCTGAGGCAAAGAGAAGAGAAGGTCAAGAAAGGCTTCTGGGAAGAGGTGATGCCGACCATAGACACAAGGGATGAGTAGGCTGGGCATTGTGCTGACCCAGGGCGGCCTGCCTACTCAGGGGAGAGTGGGAAATGATAGGTTTCACTGCAGGATCCCAATCACCAGCTGTATCCTGAGGCCAGGGCATTTTCCTCAGTGCCTCAGCATCCTGTCTGGATGGGCCCCAGGCCTCCAGGCAAGCAGACTAGGTCAGCGAATTATAACCCAGAGCACTTCCCCAAACACAAATGGCCACCATGGTAGGATTTTGGCCTATTGCCTGGCTACCACTCCATCTGCCTATGCAGACTCAGCGCCCCCCGGCCACCTGGCAGGCCCCTGTCACCGACCATCAGAGGCCAGCCCACAGCCAAACCAGCTCAGTGAACACTGGGGAAGCAGGTTTGCCCAAGACAGGTCTGAGCCCTGGTTTATCTTAGGGAGGGAGTAGAAAGGGAAGGCCTGAGTGGTTCCTATGTGGACCATCACTGCTAGTCTCTCGGGCCTACACCTCTCTGCTGGCACAGACCCAGCGCCTGGAGGGGGGAAGAGGAAGGCCATGCAGCCTCTCCCCATCTCCATCTCACTTCCACCTCTGAGCAGGCAGTCCTCGCCTTAGGACAGCCTTTCAAAGCCAGCCTAGCTTCCATCCTTCCCCTCCTGGGCCCCAAGGATGGCCCATCTTTGACTTTCACAATAAGATCTTTCACTGTCTAGAAACTCAAAACCCCAAATTGTGCAGGCCAAGCCCTGTGCCTCATTGTAATTGCCTACTTCTGGCTCTGCCTTATTTACTAGTACATTCTGCAAACATTTAGTGAGCACTCTTTCTTGGTCAGATTGGGTGCCTGAAGTACTAAGGCAGTAAGACTGGTTCCTGCATGGAGGCAACGCTGCCCAGGGAGTCAGTCCTCAGTGGGGACCAGGGCTGGCAGACTTTGGTACAATGAACAGCTCATGCAAAATGGGCAAATAGGGGCAAACTATCCAAGTGGCATTTATGTTTCATGGCAATCAACATCATGGTGAATAACAGTTTAAAAGACTTCCAAACCAACCACATTTGTTGAAGGAAAAAAACCCACTCTGGAAGAGAACCTTTCTGGATCAACCATTTACGAGGCTGTGCAGAGGCCAGATCTGCTAAGGAAGATCTTCCAACAAGCTTCAGGTTTTCGAAGGTTTTGTGCCAACTGCCACCCCAAGCCTGCCTTCATCTGCATCCTCTCGCATGTATTGTTTCACAGGGCTCAGCACGATGCAGGGAGCAACCTGATGTCCTCACTGAATTTAAATGTTTTGTTCTGCTGCGTTATGCATTGATAACCCTTCACCAGTAATCATAAACTGAGCATAAACTCCTCTCCTGTGTCTCTACTCCCCCAAAGTTACTCAAACAGTGGTTCCTAGTGCCTGTCTATGAAAGAGTACATTATTATGACCATTTTTACTGATACCATAAAATAAGGAAAATTAAACGTTTCCTGAGTTTTTTTAATGCTATTTTTTCCCCATCAAATAAGTGTCTTTTATTTGAAGATTACATCTTTGCTACCTTTTTAGAGTTAAAAGTTCTCTTTTAGCTAAAGATGATGGCAAAGGGTAGTTTGTTTTTCTAATACCCTCACTAGGCAAAATGAAAGGCTGGCTACTGTACTTTGGTACCTACAATGTTTTTGGATATTTTACTGGCATACGCAATCCAAAAGTTTGGGTCCCTTGGGAAGGAGGGGGCAAAAGCAGTCATGTGTCCTTTTGTTTAAGACTCCAGCAAAACATTCCTATGTCAAGTGAGCACAGATTTCAAAACTGATGTATCAGAAAGGAAGCAAGCATGTCAGAATCGCCAATGGCAGGAGCTCTCGCATAAAGCAAGGAAGGAAATGCCAAGGGCCCAGGGAGAGGCAGTTCCAGCAGTGCTGTGGGAATTTTAAGAGAGAAAACTCTCAACCATAGCAAGCTGGGAAGTCTTCACGCTTTGTCCCTGGGAGATCATGCCTTACACTTGAGAAATCCATCCAGGATGGGGTATGTGGTTTTAATGAGTCTTTGCTGATTTTTGATTACTGGTGAAGGGTTATCAAGCATGATATCACAATGTCCACATTTAGCCACTGAGGACACCCCCAGCCCCTCAGGTCGGAGGGCAGCACCTTCAGACAACCCGAGGCCCATGTCACCTCCAGCCTCCCTTTGCCCACCGGTCCCTGCCCATCTTCAGCCATTCATAATTTGGTCTCCTCCTGAACCCTTGCTTTTCCACACTCCCCTGGCACTCTCTTCCTCACTAAGGATTGGACATGTGGAAAGTTTCAGCTTTGGGAGTTCAGGTCTGTGCAGTTAGCAGGATGCCAAAAGAGAGGGGAATAAAAAGAAAACTCCCGAAATTGCTTTGAAAGTAAGAAATGGAAGTTACCATTCCCTTAAACCCCCAATTTCTGGCTGTGCCCCCTCTACCTTCACTCTGCTTCAGAACAGTCAAGCCGGGGTTTGCTCAGATTTTCCACACAAAGCCCCCACCTTTGGGAGGAGACCAAACTCAGAATGGGCAAGCCTGGGGGAAATTCTGGAAATGACTTCCAATGTGCAGTCTGCTCCTACCATCGGCTTAGAGCCTCTGTGACCAGCTACTTGAGGTTGGGGGTCAGAAGGATTTGGTTTGACCCGAGCTCAGCGGCATCCCAGTTGCGTAATCTTAGGCACGTCTCATCTCATTGAGATGTTTTAACTGGTCCTCAGTTATCTCATCCATAAAATGGGGCTGATAATTCCTGCCTCAAAGACTTATATGAATAGCCGCAGATCATGGATGTGGAATTTTGTTGTACTCTATGAAGCTGTGCTGTCCAATATAGTCTAAAGCTGTAGCCTCAAGCTGTATGTAGCTCTTTAAAATAAAACTGACTAAAATTAAATAAAATTTAAGATCCAGTTCCCCAGTCACAGTAGCCACATTTCGAATGCTCAATAGCCACATGTGGCTCATGGCTACTATGTTGAACAGCAAGATATAGAACATTTCCATATCAGAAAGTGCTATTAGACAGCACTGCAGAGCTTCAAAAACACCACCACAGGCCCAGGGGCAGAGGCGAGCTGGCTTCTGAACTTCTCTTCCACAACCCTTTTCCCAGGAAAAGGTAAGTCAGTACAGGCCCAGTCAGAGCAGTGGCCCAAGCCCCATGCCACAGAGGCAGGGCTGTTCCGGGTCTTCCACACAGCCAGGCCCCTCCCCAACCACCCTGACCCCCGGGGAGGGCTTTTGTCACACTGTCTCTCCTAGGCCCCAAAGACACCTCCCTCTGTCCAGAACCATTAGATGAAGCACTAACTTCAAGGCGGTTCCTTAAGCCTGTGCCCTCCTCCAAGGCCTCCAGGGCCATCCCCTCTCATATGGGACGTGAACCTTAGCTCCAGATCAGACTCTGGGCCCCAACACCTGAAGCTCAGCTGCTCCCCAGATTAAACCTCCATCTTTCCTAAAACCTGTATCTCTCTTGTGGGACACAAAGAACCTACCCACTGAACTACCTGACCCTCCCTTAGGATGGGGCCCTGTCTGCTTTCACACCCAGAGGCCTTTGCAGACAGGACAGCCTCCTGCTCACCCTCAATATTTATCTTGGCCCTTCTCTGGGCAAGCTATCTTAGACCCCTACCTGGAGGCCTCAGTTTGCCCCTGGAATTCACTTACGGGGAGGGGGTCCACCTGTGGCCCTGGGCTGTTCTCTATAACTTTAACCTTTGGTTCCCATAGAAAGGGCACCCCAATATCAGAGATCCCCAAGACCAAGGAAATCCTGTCTGGCCCCATATACCCTCAGAATTTCCATGCCCAAGCTCCCTCAGGCTCTGAGCCCCAGGCTGTGGGAAGAGTCAGGTCCTCAAGAACTTGCCCTGCTCCCACCACAGCTGTGCTGGGGCTACAACTTGATGGCTGGAAACGGCACTGGTGTTCAGGGCCCGGCCAAGCGCCCAGCTCCAAAATAGCAGTTGTGTTCACATAAAAGCCTTTAATGAGAGAAAGATGCCATTCTTGGCCTCTCGCGTGCTCTCTGCAGACGCCGTCTGGCAGGCCAAGCGGGCCTCTACCGTTTGGCGGACGGAGGGGAGGAAGGGGAGGTGTGAGTCAGACCTTGGCCCCCAGCCTCTCAGCATGGACCGCCCTGCTAATTGC